CTTCCTCCTCATCCTTTTCCTTCTTTGTTCGCTATTACCTTTGTTCTTTTTCTCTCTCGCTCTCTCCTCTTCATCACCATCGTCATCATCCTCTTCCTCCTTATCTTTTTTTGTTTTTACTTTTTCTTTATTGTCATTTGTTCTAATTCTTCTTTTCTCATTCCTCTTCTCCTTCCTCCTCTTCCTCCTCTTCTTCTTCTTCCTACTCTTACTCCTCGTCCTCTACCTCTTCTTTCTACTGTTCCTCTTCTTCCTCTTCTTCCTACTCCTTCTCCATCTCCCCTTCCTCTTCCACCTTTTTCGGTCTTACTATTCACTATCTTATGAATATTAGTCCTGCTTGTCATTGCAGGAAGTAGTATTACTAATAATATGACTGGCGTTTATTTTGTTTATATACTATTACGTACTTTTATTTACACTTTTTAGTGATGTGCAGCAAAAATGAGAAAAATGTCGGTGAATGAAGAAAAAATACGAAAATGCAATAAAAAAAGAAAGAAAATAAAGAATAATTAAATAAAATTAAAGAAAATAAAAAAAAACGGAAGCCAAAGTTGAATATCGAAAAGAAAGCGATGTGAATGAAGGGAAAAGGAAAACGGAGAAAAAGAATGAACAAGAATGTATAGATAATTAAGGAAGCCAAACGTGAAAAATGATAAGAAAAAAAGCTAAAAGTAAAAAGAAAGAAAAGCTATCTTATGAAACGAAAACAACACTTGAACAATTGGATGTGAACGTCACCCAACGAAGTACAAGGAGATAAGAGGAAACTTCCATTTGACAACGTTTGATGGAAGGAACGTTGCGCCTCCTCGTTTTCCTTCGAGGTGCAAAGAAAACGAAGAAGAAAAGAAAACGAAGAAGAAAAGAAAACGAAGGAAAAAAAAAGAAAACGAAGAGGAAAAGAAAACGGGACATTCCAAACAGGCAAGGTGGAAATGAGAAAAGAAAATGGTACGTTTGAGTAGCTTTCGGTTGCCGATTTACTACGGGAACGCTGTCGCTAATTGAGATATTATTGATAATCGTTACTGTTATTATTTTATTGCTATTATCATTATCATTACCTCCGACAAGTTCATGTTTTCTGTCGAGTTGGTGCTTGTGGGTTAGTAGGATAACTCAAAAGTTATGAATAGATTTTTCCGAAAAAAATTACCAGAGGTGTGTCTTAGCCTGACTTAAATTCTATTAAAATATGGTGGCGATCCGGATCTTATTTGCTTCTTTGTAAGCAAGATAACTCAAAAAGTTGTGAACAGATTTTTCTTAAAAAAAGGAAAAGAAAAGAAAAAAAAAAAAAAAAAAAAAAAAAAAAAAAAAAAAAAAAAAAAAAAAAAAATATATATATATATATATATATATATATATATATTATATATATATATATATATATATGTATGTATATGTGTGTGTGTGTGTGTACACACACACACACACACACACACACACACACACACACACACATATATATATATATATATATATATATATATATATATATATATATATATATATATATATATATGCATATATATATTGCTTCACCCCCCCCCCCCGTCACCTTGCCTCCGCTTTACAAACGTCACCAATGTACTTAATTGTGAATATATTTTATTGCATCAGCGACCTTATTACCTTGGTGGAAGTATGCGCTTTTAGTGCTTCTAGTTTTTATTAGGACTGGTATTATTCTCATGATTTTTTTCACTTTCGTTATAATTATCATCGTTATTATCATTTTTATTATCATTGTTAATTTTATCATAATCCTTAGTATTGTTATTATTATTATTATTATTATTATCAGTATTATTGTCATTGTCATCATTGTTATTATTGCTATTGTCAATATTATTGTTACAATCATTATTATTATCATTATTATTATCATTATCATTGCTATTGTTGCCATTATCATTATTATTATTATTATTATTATTACCATCATTAGTATTATTAGCATTACAATTGGTAGTAGTATCATTATTATTATTGTTATTATTATTTTCATTATTATTATCATTATTATCATGATTATTGTTATCATTATTATTATCAATATCAAAATCATTATTATTATCAATATCATAATCCTTATTATTATTATCATCAATATCATAATCCTTATTATCATTATTATTATCATTTTCAGTATCATTCTTAGTAGTTGTAGTAGTATCAGTATTACTATTATTATTATTTTCATTATCATTGTTATTATTATTATTGTTATCATTCTCCTTATTATTATTATCATTATCATTGTTATTTCCATAATTATCCTTATCATTGTTTTAATTATTACCATCATTATTATCATCATCATTATTATAATTATTATTATCAATGTTATTATTATTATGCTTATTATTGTTGTTATTATCATTATTATTATTATTAATGTTATTATTATAACTATTGTTTTTATCATCATCATTATTATTGTTGTTGTTGTTATTGTTATTATCATTATGCTGTCACTTCGTTTATAAATACATAAATACAAAAGTCAAGGAAATCTAAAACACATCCACATCGTCAATCTAACTGAAATGCAGCCCAATACATCTCAAGAACAAAGTAAACATAGTTCATTTCCTTTAAGAAGATAGTACACACATAAAAGCCGCATGGAAAAACATTCCTTAATACATCCATTAAACAATTTCAACACACCTTTTATTGTAACTTCTGGGCTCCAAAGAGTAAACGACTCGGCAACAAATGACTATAAAATGATGTCCAACCGCTACAACGCTGGCCACATGGTAGAACATCCACAGATTCCTATGACAAAATAAACACAAAACATAGTATAACATCATTATCACATATTTATCACACACTAATATGCCTTAACACCAATATCAAATAGAGACTAGGGCATAGAGACTACGGGGCTCTGTCTTAAACAGGTGGCTTGATTTTGAAACATATAGCATATTTTTAGTATGCTGTACATATGTATATTCACACACACACACATGCACTTTCACACAAACACACATGTATATGTGTGTATGTGTGTTAAGTATGTGTATGTGTACATATATATACATACGTATATATATATATATATATATATATATATATATATATATATATATATATATATATATATATATACATACATATATACATACATACATACATATATATATATATATATATATATATATATATATATATATATATATATATGTATATATGTATGTATGTATATGTGTGTGTATTTCTACGCCAAACTTTCATCTGTGTCAGGCAGTTGTCCCCGGCGAGATATTCGTATTGTTCTGAGTGATTTCAATGCAATATTTGGCTGTGATCGAGCTGGCTATGACATATCTGTCGGTCCCCATGGTTCAGGAGCTGATGCTGGCAAGGAGAATAGCCTACTTTTCCGGGAGTATGCAAGGTCCCAGACATTGAGGATTTCTGGCTCCTGGTACTAGCGCTCAGACCCACATTGTTGGACATGGTACAGTGATGCGGGTAATGCAGCCAAGAACATCGACCACATACTCGTTAGTACTCGTTGGAAGATTCTCCAGAATTACAGGATGCATAAGAGTGCCGAGTTCTATGTTTTGTGTAATGTGTTTCATTTGGACAGGCTGAGGGAGAGAGAGTGTGCTCGGGGGTTTTCTGAGGCAATCTCTAGTCGTTTCACAGCACTCAATCATCTGACTGACCCTGTGGGACACCTTTAAGCGCGAAATGCTTAATGCAACTCAAACATTGATTGGTGGACGCCCACGTGCAAAACAGGATTTTACCTTGCAGGTGATGCTGGAAGCCACAGATGCTTGTCGTGCAGCTTGTCTGGCAGGGGATCAGGATTTGAACCGTTCTCCAGTGCGCAGAACTCGATCACTGTTGAGAAGAGACAAGGAACTTTTCCTTTGGAGTCTGCAGAGGAGGTCGCAGATAATTTCTTAGTATATGACCTGCGTCCTGCATACCAAGCTCTGAGAAAGCTGAACCCCAAGCCTTCTCAGCTCACAGCAGTTCTATCAGTAGGTGGCCAGATCGTCTCAGATCCTGTTGTGGTGCGTGAACGTTGGGCTGAGTATTATGAGCAGTTATACCAGGTTGACCCACCAACAGTTAACTTGGATGCGGGCTGTGCCGAAATTCCGATGCCGGACCCACCCATCAGTGAGGATCGTCCCTCTATAACTGAAGTTATGGGGGCGGTTTCCAAGCTGAAGAGTGGCAAAGCAGCGGGTATTTGCGGCATCCCAGCTGAACTGTTAAAGGCTGGTGGTGAACCTATGGTGTGGGGGTTGTATGCTGTCCTGGCTGCCATCTGGCGGTCCGGTACCGTTCCCCCTGACCTGTTGAGGGGTGTGGTCATCCCTCTTTGGAAGGGGAAGTGGGACCGGTGGGACTGCAGCACTCACTGAGGCATCAAACTGCTCAGTATACCAGGCAAGGGTCTCGCCCACATCTTTCTGAGACGTATCAGGGACCACCTTCTGATAAGTCCACAATAGATTGTATCCTTGCGCTTCAAGTCATTTTAGAATGCTGCTGTGAGTTTGGGCATGGGCTGCTTGCAGCCTACA